TTCCTTCCTTCCTTCCTTCCTTCCTTCCTTCCTTCCTTCCTTCCTTCTTTCCTTCCTTCCTCCCTCCCTCCCTCCCTCCCTCCCTCCCTCCCTCCCTAGACACTGGGCCATTCATAGTGAAACTAAGTGTGGATAAGAATAGTTTTTAAAGAAGGATTACTTTGCCCACAGTAAGACCTAAGAATTAAAACAACAGTATTTAGGGAAGGGGTGACTAATACAAAGTACTGAGAAAATTTGTTTTGTACTTATGTATGTGTGGGTATGTAATAAAGTTTTTGGCAAACACCTGATATCAAAATGACTCCCTAATCAGGTTGGCCTCTCTCCCAACCTTTCCAGACTAGCAAGTGGATTTTAAGAACACAGCAGACTTCAACTGTCAGAGACTTCTCAGTTGTTCTCCATCTGAATCAGGTGTTTTGATCACTGTTCTAGCTCCTTGAACAGTCAAATCACCTACTTTAAAACCGTATCTACTTACAGTATTCTAGGAGTAACCTCTAAGTCATTTCAATCAAAATGTCTGTTTGTAATGAACAGCTTTTCTCAAAACACCGAAGACCTGAAGTCTCTACACTATAAAGAGCTGATGTCGCCCTGACAACCAGCCAGAAAGTTCAGCTTAGAGTATTTATTAAATACAATGCAGTCACCTCCTGCTTTGGGTCAAAGTGGGTAGCAGGGTGGGTGATGGCTTCAGACTTTATAATCTCATTTCGTTCCCTAGACAAATGTCCTCTTGTCCATTTGTTGGAACACTGAATGGAAAATTTATTTTTCAGATTCTACAGTTATAAATTCAAATTTAGGTGCTTAAAAATAGTAATAGAGGTGATGTGCAAACAGAATAGCTATGTGGTCACTGATTATTAATTTTGATAAGAGAGTAATTCAGCATAAAGCATTAATTACCCATAATAACAAGTCTCAAATACCAGCCAAAAGATTTCCTTATAACTAGCCTAAGAGCATAAATCAAATACATCTTAGAAAAAGAGACTCTTAAATCTCTTTTTGGGCTCCTTGGTTACCTTTCACATTGCCATGGCAGGAGGTTGATGGTGGATAATCACATAATTTCTTTTTAAAAATTTTTATGTATGTATTTATTTATTTCAGAGAAGGGAAGGCAGAGGGACAGGAAGAGAGAGAAAATCTCAAGCAGACTTCCTGCTGAGCAAGGAATCCAACATGGGGCTCATTCTCCCGACCCTGAGATTATGACCTGAGCTCAAATCAAGAGTCGGATGCTTAACACACTGAGCTACCCAGGCGCCCCAATCACATAATTTCTGATGAAATTCTGTAGCGCTGATTCGTGCTCTCAAATTATCTCTTCCTCCCTTCTCCCAGTGACCCCATTTAAACTTAAGAAACAAGATCAAGGTCCCCCATTAAGTCCCTTTTCCTATCCTCTTCATTTAAAAACCCTGTCCTTTTCTACAGTCATATTTTCATCTTCTTCTCCTGTCTTGGAAGAGATCTTTCCTCCTGTCTGAGGAGGACCGGTCTTTGCTCTCAATTCTGTTTCCTGCCCTTCTTTCAGAAAAGTGTCCTTTAATGCTGCTCTCTCTTTCAAGCATCTGGAATCTCTACTCTCTAGTTTTCACCTCTACTGTGAAAAAGACCTATGGCTCAAATTCTAACTCTACCATTGATTTACTGTGTGACTTGGGTCAAGTATTTAACCTCTGTGTCTCAGATTCCTCATCCAATAGAGCCTGGTACATAAAATGTGTTCAATAAATGTTAACTTTCTATCATCATCATTATTTGAGAATTGTATGCTCCTCTAGCTCCCACACTTACCTATTTTTCTCTTTACTTTTTACACTGTGTGGTGGTTTCTGCTTCTATCACATTCTCATAGGTTCTTATAACTTCACAAATGACAAATTACCTTCATTCTTCCTTATCCTGTTGAAACCCTGCTTCCTCTCTCTAAATGCTCTATTCCATTATCTTATCTAAGACATTCTCCAGTCATTCATTTGCTGTTTTCTTCAGAAGTTGAAACTTTAATCCAACCCAGTAAGTGTAGAAAGAAAGAATAGACAGAACTTGGTAATATCTCTTGAATCCATCCCTAGAGCTGACACCTCAAGCCTTACAAGTGAAGCAATCTTCTAAATGTTTTATTTTTATCCAGCCTTTGCTTCCCCTGCCCTTAACCCAACTTACCCTGTCCCCAGCTGCCACATGAACTTTCTATCACTTTATCACTCTCCTGGTTAAAAGTCTCCACTGGCTTCCCACTACCAAACTCTTGAACCATGGCCTTCACTAACTTCCATCCTGACCCCAACCTTGCTCTCCAATACGAATGTCCACAATAGGGGCGCCTGGGTGGCTCAGTTGTTAAGCGTCTGCCTTCGGCTCAGGTCATGATCCCGGGGTCCTGGGATCGAGCCCCACATCGGGCTCCCTGCTCGACGGGAAGCCTGCTTCTCCCTCTCCTGTTCCCCCTGCTTGTGTTCTCTCTCTCGCTGTGTCTCTTTCTGTCAAATAAATAAATAAAATCTTAAAAAAAAAAAAAAAGAATGTGCACAATAGCCAAACTGTGGAAAGAGCCCAGAGGTCCATCGACAGATGAATGGATAAAGAAGATGTGGTATATATATATACGCAATGGAATATTATGCAGACATCAAAAAATGAAATCTTGCCATTTGCATTGACGTGGATGGAACTAGAGGGTATTATGCTAAGTGAAATAAGTTAATCAGAGAAAGACAATTATTATATGATCTCACTGATATGTGGAATTTAAGAAACAAGGCAGAGGATCATAGAGGAAGAGAGGAAAACATGAAATAAGACAAATAAATAAGACAAAAAAATAAGACAAAACTCCCCCCAGAGGGGGAGACAAACCATGAGACTCTTAATCATAGGAAGCAAACAGGTTTGCTGGAGGGGCCGGGGGGCGGGGGTGGAGGGATGGGGTAACTGGGTGATGGACATTGGGGAGGGTATGTGTTGTAATGAGCACTGGGCATTATATAAGACTGGTGAATCACAGACCTGTAACCCTGAAACAAATAATACATTGTATGTTAATTAATTGAATTTAAATTAAAAAGGGCGGGAAAAAAAAGAAGTCCTACTCCTACTCCTACTAAGCATGGATCCTTATAATCAGCCACACTTTCTCAATATATCTTGTGTATTTCTTCTTCACTGACATTTCTTTCGTGTTTTCTCATACAATTTCCCATTTCTTTCTACCTTTTGAATTGGATCAATTCAAAGCTTAAGTCCAACTTCTCACTAAAGCACTCTCAACAACCATTTTAATTTTTCTCTTTGATTTCCTACACCACTCAATGCCTACACCATGGGACACTTGCTACTAACTGTTCCACATTATGGGTTCTCCCCTTACACATGCAGATCATACGTACTTCAGTAGTTAAGTTCTATGGCAGTGGGGATTCTTTTAAGTTTTGTTTCTTGACAGTACTTACCATTGCTCCTTGTATGTAGGAAAACCTTGGCTCAATTAACATCCGAGTGTCTTTCAGGAATCAAATACTGACTTGGGGCACAAAATTCCTAATTCTGTTCTCAGTAATGATGGAAACAAAGATCTCAAAAGATCATTCTTAGAAGTGCCAGGCCCTCCAAAGATAGACACTGCTGGAATTCCTTCTGTTAATAAGCTTGCTGGGTCAAGTTTCTTACTTGTTAATGTAATTTAAGGTTGCCATCTTTATTAGGTGATGACCAGACATTTCATTTGCTCCCAAATATCAGTGGCTTGAGTATTTAAAAATTATTGCTCACATCTGCCTAAGTGGTTCACATTTTCTGATTTCTATCTTTGTTTCTTATTTTCCACAATCTCCCCTCCCTTTGCCATAGCTCTCTTGTGGTCCTATCTGCTCTATCAATACTAGAATCTCATCAATTCCCAGTAATCAAATGGTGGCAGATCAAAACTATTAATAATTTCTCTGAATATTAACTTACACTTTAAAGATAATTTGGGATTTTAGTTAGGTCATAAAATTAAACATTCCTTTTTGTTTTCATATATTTAATCAAGAGATGACTTTATCATGCTTATGCTATATGTTTTGATATTGGACAAAACTGAGAAGATCATTTTTACCAAACAAATTGTTTTAATAAAAACAGAGAAGTGTAATAATGAAAAATGAAATGCCATACCTGGGTCCACTCATTTGTCTGGGGATCATAAGCCTCCACTGTATTAAGATAAGTCTGTCCATCATACCCTCCAACAGCATATAATTTATCACCAAGTAAGCAGACCCCCACTGCATCTCTGCTGATGCTCATAGATGCCACTGCAGTCCACATATCTGTTTTGGGATCATATCTGAAAGAAAATTTTAGAACTGGAGCTGACATTGTTCTCACAGTATTTTTATGTAAAAATAGTTTATGGATGAAAGACTCGCATGTCAGACCTGACACAATAAAACTCCTAGAAGAAAACATAGGGAGTAAGCTCCTTGACACTGGTCTTGGCAATTATTTTTTGGATCTGACACCAAAAAGCAAAGGCAACAAAAGTAAAAGTAAACAAGTGGGACCACATCAAACTAAAAACCTTCTGCATAGTGAAGGAAACCATCAACAAAATGAAAAGGCAACCTATGGAATGGGAAAAAATGTTTCCAAATCATGTATCTGATAAGGGGTTAATATCTAGAAGATCTAAAGAATTGTACAACTCAATAACAACAACAAAAACCCAAATAAACCACTTAAAAATGGGCAGAGGGTCTCAATAGACATTTTTCTGAAGAAGACATATAGATGGCCAGTAGGTACATGAAAAGGTGCTTAACATCACAAATCATCAAGGAAATGTAAATCAAAACCACAATGCCTGTTACCAAAAAGATAATAACAAGTGTTGGGGAGGATGTGGAGAAAAGGGAACCCTTGTGCACTGTTGGTGGGAATGTGAATTAGTGCAACTGCTATAGAAAACAGTATGGAGTTTCCTGAAAAAAATTAAAAATAGAACTACCATATGATCCAGTAATTCTACTTCTGGGTATTTAACCAAAGAAAATGAAAACACTAATTTGAAAAGATATATGTACCCTCATGTTCACCGCAGCATTATTAACAGTAGCCAAGGGCACCTTGGGGGGCTCAGTTTGTTAAGCAACTGCCTTCGGCCCAGGTCATGATTCTGGAGTCCCGGGATCGAGTCCCGCATCAGGCTCCCTGCTCAGCGGGGAGTCTGCTTCTCCCTCTGACTCTCCCCCCTCTCATGCTCTCTCTCCCATTCTCTCTCTCAGATAAATAAATAAAATCTTAAAAAAAAAAAAGTAGCCAAGACATGGAAACAACCTAAGTGTTCATCAATGGGTGAATGGATAAAGAAAATGTGGTACATATAGAATACACACATATACACATGCACGCGTGCACACACTGGAATATCATTCGGCCATGAAAAAGAATGAAACCTTGCCATTTCAACAACATGGATGGACCTTGCGGGCATTATGCTAAGTGAAATAAGCCAGAGAAAACAAATACCTATGATCTCACTATATGTGGATTCTAAAACAAAAACAAAAAACTAAGCACATTAGATTGGTGGTTGCCAGAGGTGGGGCATGGAGCGGGTGGGTGAAATGGAGGAAGGGGTCAAAAGGGACAAATTTCTAGTTATAAAACACATGAGTTATGGGGATGTAATGTATAACATGGTGATATAGTTAATAATACTGTATTGTATATTTGAACGTTGCTAAGAGAGAAGATCTTAAAAGTTCTCATCACAAGAAAAAAATTGTAACTATATATGGTGACGGATGTTAACTAGACTTATTGTGATCATTTCTCAATATATACAAATGTCAAATCATTATGTTATACACCTGAGACTAATGTCATGTTATATGTCAATTATACCTCAATAAAAGAATACCTACATATCCAGAAACACCTGGGAGAGGCAGTATAGCACAGTGGTTAGAGAATGGACTTTGGGTTTGGGCTGAAGAACCCTGAGTCCTTATCCTTCCAATCACTGGCTCTGTGGTATTGTAAAGTTACTTAAAATCTTTACATCTTAGTTTCTTTATTGGTGAAAATACTCACTATGTAGCATTGAGGATTGAATGAAAATGCACAGTAAGCATTTGATAAATGTCATCTTAAAGATGAGTTGGTTCATTTATTACAATTTTCTCCTATTAGCAAAGAATATATTCTTGTAACAAAAATTCAAAGATTACAAAAATATATAAAAAAATGCAATAATTAGCCTCATTTCCTTCCAACTTTAATTAAAGAGTCAAGTGGTAACCACTATTAACAGTGTGGTTTGATTTGATCTTCTAAATATTTCATTTTTTATTCTTAGGGCTTGAGATGCCTATTTCAAAACATGTTTTTTTTTTTTTTTTTAATTCAGTTTACTTTTTCTTTCCATGTAAAACATTAACATTTTTTTCTTTCAAGAAAATAAAAATAGTTTAGTTCTTTAAGCCTACCCTTTATCTTATTACTTCTATCTAAATACATTTGAACATATTTTAGAAAAAATATCAATATTTTCCTGAAAACTTTTAACTTACAATATTATAGAGTCATTTAGTAAATCCATAACAATTAAACTATCCAAAAGAGCTAAAGTAAATACTGAAAATTGCTTTAAGATTTCCGATTGCCTACTGAAAATCTGAGGAAATCAATACATGAAGCTCTATGTAAGATGGCTTACAGATGTAATCATTAAAGCTATCCACTTTTGAACCTTCTTGTTCCTTTCATGAAATATATTAACTAGAACAGCCCAAAGTTGTCTATCTAAGAGCAGATACATCATGCTAAAATGACCTATATTGCTTCTAATACCTCTTGCACAAAAATGAACAATTTTTCATTGGGTGCAGTACTGCAATGCTCCTGTAACTTATGGGGTACAGTGTACAAAGAGCTCCATATTCCTTTCCTGGAGTATAACATGCAGCAAGCGTAGTCTTCCTAACACAGGTGAAATGTAAGTATAAACTTTCCTGCTTTCTCAAAAGACAACAAACCGACCCTCATTATTTCACAGAAAGCACTCATTGTCATCAAACCTGCATTTCACTTTTTATCTTTCTTCCAATCATGTATAATTAAATAAAATGCGTGTGCACGCACATACACACTTATCAACTTTCCATTGCTCTTTAAAATCCAGAATCCTTAAGACTCTATGTGCTCTGCCCCCATCTCCACCCTAGTCCGCCTCCTTTCCTGTCACTGTCTCCCTCACTCTCTGTTCCCTAGGCACAGTGGCCACCTTTCAGTTTTCTGAATGAACCATATCCCTTTCTGCTTTGGAGTGTTCGTACATGCTTCCATTGACTCTACCTCCTAAATACATTCAATTTTCTCCATTCCTTGAACCAGACTAAAGATAACAGATGGGAGCCTGAACTATTGTCCAAATCGTCCATTGATGTTAGGCTCTTTACCTGGCCCCATACTTGAGTTTCGTGAGGCCAGTTTGGATGACTTGTGTAACCTTTTAAGCCATACTAGTTTTTTATTTTATTATTTCATAATATCTCATTATATCAAAATGGGTTAGAAATGTTCCTCTCCTTTTCACTTCTTACTTAGCCTCCAGCCCCATTCCTTCTCTCTGAAATTTGGCAAGCTCCTTTCCTTTTCCTGTCAGGTACAGTATCCAGTATAAAATATGTACACAATAAATGTTTGTCATATAACTCAATTAATAAATTATATAATTAAGTCTAAGGTAAATTTTAAGTAGGCAGTAATATGATGGAGAAAAATCTGAGTAAGCTGTTAGGAGAAAGACCAGGAGACGGCCGGAGCAGACAACCCAATGCTTACAAAGCTGTGAAGGAACCGCCTTGTACGTGGTAGGCGTTCGATAAGGAGTCATTAATTTGTCCGGAAGTGTCAGACAAGTTTTCCTTCACAGGAAATTACCTCTCCACGCAGTCTGAGAGTCTGGAAGTCAAGTTGGACGCAGGAGCATCATGTCCTCCAATTGCATACAGCAATCCATTCCAGGTAGTTACCCCTACTCCCCCTCTCCTTTTTGACATTTGTGCACAGAGTGTCCATTTATTAGTATGAGGATCAAAACATTCTACTGATTTGAGGCAAGAACTTCCATCACGACCACCAACTGCATAAAGCCTATAAGAACAAATAGAATAATAAATAAAAAAGAGTGCCATCATTATAATTAAGACAAAGAGATTATTCTTGTGGTATTTCATTGAATTTAAGGTGCCATAGATTATAAGACACACTGCCAATTTATGTGCCATCAAGAAAGAAGATATGCTACCAATTATATGACATATGTATATGATATACATATGATATATATCTACCAGATATCACTCTGTATATACATAAAAAAGAACAAACTTACATGAAAGCAATGATAACTATTTCTGACAAGACACCACTGATTATAAGACGCATCACAATCTTAGAGGCATAAAATGTGTCTTAGAATAGAAAAAATGTGGTCTATAAATATACCATGACTTCTTTCTTAAATAGCTAAGATAGGACTAGGTTATAAAGGAAAGAAACTAACCTTTTCTGCACCTACCACAGGCTAGACATTTTACCTGTATTAATTTAATCATCTCAATGATGCTATGAGAAACCATTTATATTCCTGTTTCATGGGTGAAGAAACAGGCTCATGGATATTAAGAGGCTTATACAGGGTCAGGAGCAGACTGTGGGCAGTCACCTGGGATGTTCTTATAGTAGTGAAAGAGGAGAATAAAAGGATTGCTTGAAACAGTGGTATGTAAATTAATATTTATTACATACGAACAGTGATCCTTCATTAATTTAAATTACTGCAGAGAAGGATGCTGTAAGTTATCTAAAATGAATATGATATGTTAATGTCCTAAATGTTGCCTAGTAGATAAATTTTAATTCATTACCAATCAATATACTGCATTAATTTTAAAAGTCTTTCTCTGACATTAAAATATATATAAAATATTATATTTTTCTAATAGTTTTTTCAAAAGAGTAATAAATTCAGATCATTGCTTATATAAAAGTCCCCACATTTTGAATTTACAGATGCCTTACTTAACATTTAACTATTTTTTTTTTTTTACCTCAGGAAAGAATATTTGAACTATACCAAATATCTGCCAATTAAAACTCTAAGTATTTATATTTGGGTAAATACATATATTTTAAAGACATTTGTTCATTTTAATTCATAATGTAAAGTACACTATACCACTCAAACTGGTTCTTTAGTGAGAAGATGACCATATCTTAGCAACATATGGGTGGTGCAATATCTTGTTCTAAACTTTATATTAATAGAATTAATTGAATTTGAAATTTATTTGAAACTTTGTTAGAAGTTTTTATCTGTCAAAAACTACTTTCTTGTGTTCTTGTTCTTAATATTAAACTGTTCTCATTTTTAAATAATACTTGGTAGAATAATTGATTATGGATCACAGAATATCAGAAGACATCAACAATTAGAAAACATCCATAATTTAAAAAACATGTACACACATGCGTGCATGCATACGTGTGTGCGCACAAACACACATGGATTCAAGACCATAAAGGAGGCTTAGTCACGTAAGCTACTCAAAACTTTTAAGCAGAAAAGTGACATGGTCCTATTTGTACTTTAGGTAGGACATTAGGTAAGTGTCTAAAATGAAGGATGAAAGAGAGAGTTAAGATTAGGGGCAAAATGACCAGCTTGGGAGATACGCCAATAGAAAAGTTAAAATCACAAAGTAGATATACTGTACTTTCAAAATCAAATGTCTTAATCATTAGTAGATGAGTGATCTTCAGCTTCTGATATGATTCTTTGATTGTCTCAGTGTCAGTATTCAATAAATTGTACCTTAGATGGGCTAAAGACTGAAATATTTATTTCTCATAAGAGAGCAAGAGAAGGTGAGAAAGTAAGAAATTTCCATGCTTAGAAGTTAAAGCTACTGTAGGTCTAGAAATTAGATTTTAGAGAAGGCAGCTATGCTTTTGTGCTGTTAGAAATATTTATTTCTAGACTAGGAAATATGTCAGTGAACAAGAATTAGATCAATGAACTAATCCCAGAAATTAAACTGAAGGGTTAAAACTGAAGAGATATTGTTAGTTTTCTCTCTTTTTTCTCATTTACTAGATTCTTTGTTGGCTGACTCTGCTACCAAAGAATGAGGGAAGATATGTAGTGATAAATTTTGAAGTTCTTTCTTTAGCTAAAACAAATGAAGGGAGGGGTTTGGAGATCAGATACACTTTAAAAAGTGGGTTTCTATTTCTCTATCTTGCCACTTGTAATAGTGCTAAAAACCAACAAAACGTAGGACATAACTAATAAGTCCTGAGGAACCAAGACCTTAGGTCTTAAAGTATAAAAATCTAATATTTTCTCACTTTCTTTTACCAATCAATACAATTCTACAAATAATTTTAAGTCTCTTTTAACTTTGATTCCTTCCCCTTTCTGGAAATGATGATAAAGCATTTTTTTTTTAAGATTTTATTTATTCATTTAAGAGAGAGAGAGAGAGAGCACAAGCAGGGTGAGGGGCAGAGGGAGAAGCAGACTCCCCGCTGAGCCAGGAGCCCAACACAGGGCTGGATATTGGAACCCTGGGATCATGATCTGAGCCGAAGGTAGACGCCCAACCATCTGAGCCACCCAGGTGCCCCGATGATAAAGCATTTTAAGTGAGTAAAGGTATGCAACAAACAACTTTTATTTAATAACATATAGGGCTTCATTTTATGGAAGAAAGGCCTTTGATATGTATTTAGTCTCTGAGTTACCAAGAGCTATTAGTGATGGTTCTGTCCAAATCTGTTAACTCCAGTTAGAGTAGACAAGAGCCAAGAGAGCACCTTTCTAAATCCATTTCAGTTTTCCGCAGTTGACCAAGATAAGAAAGAAGTAAAAGTAAGGATAAGTCAGTAGAAGAGATGGAAGGAATTATTTAGGAAAACAGAGAGAGGGCCTATGGTACATTTAAAATACTATGTACTTTTAAAGCTATATAAACCACCAGATTTTTACTATATTTATATAAAACTTCTTCACTCAAAATAACTTGAAATTTATAATATCTGCACATTAGAATGAAAACCCAACACAGTGAGTTATTTATATTTAGAACTACAATAAAAAGAGACTATTTTAAAAGTCTGCATCACTCTTAAAGTTTTTCTCTTTTGTGACTTTGTGTACTTTTTAACGTATATTTTTAAGTTAGACGATACAGCTCAATAAATTTGGTTTATTGTGTTTGAAACAGAATTTTAAATATTTCCTTACTTTCCACTTAGTACTGCCACACCTACTGTGCTCCTGGGGGTGGACATAGTGGCAACAAAATTCCACTGGCGAGCCTGAGGGTCCCATCTTTCCACTGTATTCAGATAGCTCCAGCCATCATGTCCTCCTACTGCATACATGGGACCTTCCAATACAGCCACACCTGCAAGGAGACAGGAAAGAAGCAATGACTTCAGATTTGCTGCTAGGTCTTAAAGATCACATTTTAATTGAAATCTAAATATACAGTTCACCACCTATGTTTTCATCTGAGTTTGATGGTTCCAGATCTTATGTTCAAGTCTTTAACCCATTTTGAGTTTATTTTTGTGTTTGCTGTAAGGTAATGGTCCACTTTCATTCTTTTGCCTGTGACTATGCAGTTTTCCCAGCACCATTTATTGAAGACTGTCCTTTCCCCATTGTATATCCTTGGCTCCTTTCTTGTAACTTAGTCGACCACATATGCTTGGGTTTATTTCTAGACTCTCTATTTTGTTGCACTGATCAATGTGTCTGTTTTTAAGCCAAATACCATAATGTGTTAGTTAGTATCACTTTGTAGTATAGTTTGAAATCAGGGAGTGTGATGCCTCCAGCTCTGTCCTTTTTTCTCAAGTTTGCTTTGCTATTCTTTTTTGTTTTGATTTGATTTTGTTTTTTTGTGACCTCATACAAATTTTAGGATTATTTGTTCTTTTTCTTTGAAAAATGTCACTGGAATTTTGATAGGGATTGCATTGAATCAGTAGATTGCTTTGGGTAGTACGATGAACCTTAAACATGCAAATTTAGTTAAGGAAACATTTATGGTAAAGATACCTGGGTTTCTTTCTAGCTCTTCTTGGTCGGTTGGTGGGTTGGTGAGGGGGGAAAGTAGCTCTACAGCTCTGGTCTACTAAGCTTTAGAGGCAGTATCTTGAGATCCAACAGTGGAAAGTTATTTAAAACTATACAATATGTATACACTGCCATATTTAAAAGATTTTTCAATAATTCAGATTTAAGATATATTTGTAAAATCATTTTTATTCCTTTCCCCCTATTAGTTCAAATTCATGAGATTTTTATTCTAGTTAGACTTGATAACACAATCTATTGGTGTGATTCATTACCAGGGAACCAAGTTCCCTTATTCAACAAACATTTAGTTTTTATTAAGTGCCAAATGCTTAATAGAAGTTAACAGATAAGGGCCTTGCCATGATGGACCTAATATTTTAGTCAGAAAACAGGCAAAATATATTTCAGGTATTGATGAGTGCTAATAAGAAAACTGGAACTGAATAGAAGGGTAGGGAGAGTCAGAGAAGACCTCTTGGACAAAGTGACATTTGAACAAAAATGTGGATGAAGTTAAGTAGCCAGATATGGAGATATCTGAGAGAAGAGAAGGTGAGGTAAAGGGAAGAGTATGTACAAACTACACACATACACACATATATATACTTCCAAATATATAAAAATATATCCAATTATATGTGTGTATGTATGTGCATGTAATTAATTAAAGAGCTGGAAGAAAAATTAATGGGTCCATCTAGTTCAACTCCTTAAACAATATCTTTGAAAATGAATTTTAGCAGCAGAACCACTTCTTCAAAATGAAATCTTTATTTAATTCTCACATGTAATAGATAAAAGGAATGTTTCCTATGTAAGAGTTTCTTTCATAAGTTCAATTTTATAACATTGATTTATTATACGGTAAATAAGTAAGAACGAGGATGACAGAAAGATTTGGAAAAAAAAAAACAAAAACAACTCGAAGAAGACATTTGAACTGGGCACTTGGATGGCTCAGTTGCTTAAGCGACTGCCTTCGGCTCAGGTCATGATCCTGGAGTCCCGGGATCGAGTCCTGCATCAGGCGCCCCCTGCTCGGAGGGGAGTCTGCTTCTCCCTCTGACCCTCCACCCTCTCGTGCTCTCTCTCTCATTCTTTTTCTCAAATAAATAAAAAATCTTAAAAAAAAAGACATTTGAACTATATGATCATTCTCCTTTGAACTTGTTTCAATAAAGCATTTTGTATGGTACCTAGAATTAATGTCAGTATTCTATGCATAATCTAATCTGCACAAAACATAGCAGGATCATGGGCATTCTTATTCTATATACCATAAGAATTTACCTTAAGTTAAAATTAAATTTCTTTTCTCCATGGTGGGGGAAAGTATGCAGGTGAATCACACTATTGACCCTGGATTTTATGGTCAACCCAAGTTTTTAAGTCTCATTCATGCTGCTTTTTTTTTTAAAGATTTTATTTATTTATTTGAGAGAGAGAATGAGAGAGAGAGAGAGCATGAGGGGGGGAGGGTCAGAGGGAGAAGTAGACTCCCTGCTGAGCAGGGAGCCTGATGTGGGATCTGGTCCCGGAACTCCAGGATCATGACCTGAGCCGAAGGCAGTCGCTTAACCAACTGAGCCACCTAAGCGCCCCTCATTCATGCTGCTTTTGAGATACATTCCCATTCTGTGCTTATGTAATAAGTTGATCTTATGGACTCAAGATTAATATTTTATAGTTTTGTTAAATCTCATATAGTTCATTTTAAGCTCCCCTCTCAGTACCCTACCCCTAACCCTCTGGTTTTACTTCCTTACCAAACTCGAAACTTAAGATCACCTTGAACTGAAATCTAATTGCAAATAGTAGAATCACTTGTTTCTTTGATCTTTTTTGCTGTACCCACTATCAGACCAATCTTCAAGCCTAGATAATTTTCATTACTGGCTACTGGCTTTTTTTTTTGGCAGCCTCTACTCTGGTGCTCAGCATTAATAAATCCAATGTAGTACAAAGTTATGCTATCTAAACTGAACTATGACTTCATTGCTACTCCCCCATCTTTCAATTCATCTTTCAGGACGATCTATCAAATTCTTTTTTTTTAAAAGATTTTTATTTTTTGACAGAGAGAGAGAGACGGCGAGAGAGGGAACACAAGCAGGGGGAGTGGGAGAGGGAGAAGCAGGCTTCACAAAGAGCAGGGAGCCCGATGCGGGGCTTGATCCTAGGACCCTGAGATCATGACCTGAGCAGATGGCAGACGCTCAACGACTGAGCCACCCAGGCACCCCAATCTATCAAATTCTTTATTGCAACTAATTTAAACCTTTTCCAAACTGTGATACATTGACAATATGGCCACAAATTCTTCTTATTGCTGAATGCACGCCTATTTTCAATGTGACTCGGCAGCTCCTTCTGCCAAGAAGAGTAGTGTCCATCAACAGATGAGCGGATAAGAAAGATGCAGTATCTTTCATACACACACACACACACACACACACACACTGAAATATTACACTGGAATATTGCATTATACAAATGATGAGATCATACCATTTGAGACAACATGAATGGACCTAGAGGGTATTATGCTAAGTAAAATAAGGTAGACTAAGAAAGACAAAGGCCATATGATTCCATTCATAGATGGCATCTAAAATATGATTAATCAGGGGCACCTGGGTGGCTCAGTTGGGCAAGCGTCTGCCTTCGGCTCAGGTCATGATCCCAGGGTCCTGGGATCGAGTCCTGAGTTGGGCTCCCTGCTCAGCGGGGAGCCTGCTTCTCCTTCTGCCCCCTGCTCGTGCTCTCTCGCTTTCTCTCTACCTCAAATAAATAGAAATAAAATCTTTTAAAAAATAAAATAAAAAATGAATAAACAAATAAAGAACAGAATCAGAACTACAGATACAGAGAACAAACTGATGGTTGCCAGAGGGGAGGGAGAAGGAGAGCTGGGCAAAATGGATGGAGAGGGAGATAACAGGTTTCCAGTTATGGAATGAGTAGGTCATGGGAAGAAGAGGCTTAAGAAATATAGTCAGTGATAATGAAGTAGGGATGTATAATGGGACAGATGGCAGCTATACTTGTGGTGAACATAGCGTAATGTATAAATTTGTCAAATCACTAAGTTGTACACGTGAAACCAATGTAACATTGTGTATCAACTAGACTCAAATAAATATAAATATAAACACATACATACATATATACATAAATAAGAATAGTCTTTTTCTCCACTTTTTGAATCTGGGCTTGTCCACGTGACTTGTTTTGGCCAGTGCAACATTAGCAAACATGAGGCTGGCAGAAGCTTGAAAAGTCTTTGTGCACTGTGGCTTGCCTTCTCTTGCTGCTTTTGAAACTCTGTGACTGCCCCCATGTGAAGAAGCCTGGCTAGCCTCCTGAATGATTTGAGGCACATGGCCCACTTGTCTCTGTTGCCCAGGCCAACAAGCTGCCTACTACTACACATGTGATTGAGGCTATCTGAGATCACCTAGTTGACCTGCCAGCCCACCGGAGATCCATGAGAAAACCCAGGAGAAATCATCCAAGGCAGCCTGGACCAGAAGAATGGCTCAGCAGACCCACAGATCCATGAGCTAAATATATGGTTGTTTTAAACCTCTGACTTTTGGAGTATTTGTTACGCAGCAAAAGCTGCGTGATAACCCCAACTAATTTTATTTCCATCTGCTTTACTCTCACCGAACAATTCTATTTCACCTATTCTTTCTCCTATCAAAAAAGATAGGTCATGTGACACAAGACCCTAAATTATCTTCTATCATACTCAGAGTAAGCCATCAGTTCCTTCAGAGTAGACAGTGTCTTCTTCATCTTTGTATACCTACTGAGCAAAGAACAGAGCACATAGAACATGCTAATCAATGTCAGTTCAGTGAATTATTGAATGAAAGAATGAAAAGTCTCTATCGTTATATTCTCTGTGCCACCTCAAGATTTCTCTGGGTTTTTCTTCACTTCTGCTTAAAAACCAGGGGCTATAGATGATTAACTAAGCATTTCTATCAGCTTAGGTTAACACTGATTGTCAACACAGAATACATATTTTAAAAGGCGGCTTATCACTCCATCATGCTACAATAAAATCTTTAAATTACTTGTCTTTACTTGTGCTGGTTGCTGTTACAGTTATGTATATGCTTGTTTGCCCTGATTCTGCTTCTCAGTTAAGGAGCATTGTGAAGGAGTGCTTGGTGACTGATTGTTCCTGACTCAGCCGCTGCCACCGTGGTCTTCTTCTGCCTGGTACAGATTGTAAAAATGCTGTAGAAGCCTAATGTATGATATCATGAATGAACCTGCATAATTATACTCACCAAGGCCATGCCTGTGGGTGGACATAGGAGGCATCACACTCCAGGTTTTTGTTTTGGGATTGTAGCATTCTACAGTGTTCAAAGTCTTCAGTCCATCTCTTCCTCCAACCACATACAGTTTGTCATCTAACACTGCAACACCAAACTGTAGCCTCCTCCCATTCATATTTGCTACAGGAGTCCACATATTTGTACGAAGATCATACTTTTCAATGCTTGTTGCCCCTTAATAGTAATATATAGAAGTTATGAATAAAAACTTTACCATGTTTATTTTATGAATTTATACATATAAAAGTATAATTTTATTAGCATTGACAATGATCCTTTTATTATATTTCAGTGAGCTCCTGCATGATCAGGCCCCTGCTTCTGTCTCTGACATCATCTCCTACTATTCTCTAGGGCATACACAAGGCTCTATATTAAAAGGTCAAATGAGAAAGGTTTATTTGTAACAGCCTGTAGTGGGAGGAAAAACAGGGTAGATTAGTGTCATAAAGCCAAAGTAAAAAAAAATTAGCAGGTAGTTCTGAAGGAAGATGGTGGCAAAATCCCATGAATACAACTAGATAACTATCAAATCCTAAATACCCCAGGAATGAGTCTGAAGACTGGCAGAACAAACTCCACAACTAAAGGTAGGGAAGAGGCCACACTGAAGATGATCGGAAGTATGGAGACATGGCTTGGGAGAGAAACAGATCATGGCCAATGTGGTGAGGAAGGAGCCATGGTCTCAGAGAAGGGTAGGAGACAAACTAGCACACAGGGGAGTGCATGGGGAAAATGAATCCCCTTAGCAATTGGCTTGGCAAGTGAGAGGGCCTGCATTTTATGAGTTCTTGCAACCAGTGAGGCTTAAAGTTTGGAGATTTAAAAGTCAGCATGCTTGGCTTTGGAGAGCTTGGAGGACATTGGGGCTGTTCTTGAAGAAGACTGTGGACATACAGCATGGAAACATTGATTTGAAGAGCACCTGGGGCATGCAGTGGGGAGGTTAGTTGCTATCAGAGCATGTCTCAGGGAGGCAGCATTCATGGGGACCCCTCTGGGAACAAAAGAACTGACAGGTGCCATTTTCCTCCTCCTGCTCCTCAGCATAAGCACAGGGCCAGCTGCAGGAACCAGTGCCATGCTAACACTCACCACCTACCTTGCTTATACCAAGCCCTGTTCCCCCAAACTCCAGTGGAATTGCCCTTCCCAGTCACACTTGCCTTAGTCCCAGCACAGCAGGCCCCTTCCCCAGGAGACCAGCCCAAACCCCTGCCAACACCATGTCTGCCAACTGAGGAGTTTTGTGAGGACTCAGTTCCAGTGTCAGTGGTGACAGGTCTCATTTCATAAGCAGACCACAGCACACCTAGTTAAAATGCACCACATTCAGCCAGGGACCAAACACTGCCCACAACAAGCAAAGAGAGCCTCTGCAGACAACTGGTCTAAAGGATAAAGTGGCTAGGCCACAATAGCAGAGTACACACTGGAGACACTCCTTGAAGCACCAGGCCCAAGGGAACAGGGGGACACTACACTGCAGGGCACTATAAGACCTCTTCTTCATAGAGCCATTACCTTCAAGAACAGAGATATAGCTGACTTTCTTAACATAGAAAAACAGGGAGACTTAGACAAAACATAGAGACTTAGACAAAATGAGAAGACAGAGGAATTTGACCCAAAAGAAAGAACAGGACAAGGCCACAGCTGGAGATCTAAGCAAAACAGATATAAGTGACATGCCTGATGGAGAATTTAAAGCAGTGATCATAAGGATACTCACTGGACTTGAGAAAGGAGTGGAGGACATCAGTAAGACTGAGAATAAACTTAGGGAACTCAGTGACCCTATCAAACATAATTAACACTTGTATTATAGGAGTCCCAGAAGAAGAGACAGAAAGGTGGCAGAGAATTTATTTGAAGAAATAATAGCTGAAAACCTCCCTAATCTGGGGAAGGAAACAGATATCCAGATCCAGAAACACAGAGACCCCCCGCAACAAAATCAACAAAAGCAGATCCACCCCAAAACATACTGTAATTAAAATGGCAAAATAGGGGCACCTGGGTGGCTTAGTCGGTTGGGCATCCGCTTTCAGCTCAGGTCATGATCCCAGGGTCCTGGGATCTAGCCCTGCATTGGGCTCCCTGCTCTGAGGGGAGCCTGCTTTTCCCTCTCCCTCTTCCTGCTGCTCCCCCTGTTTGTGTTCTCTCTCTCTGTCAAATAAATAAATAAAATCTTAAAAAAAATAAAATGGCAAAATATAGTGATAAAGAAAGAAATATGAAAAGTAGCAAGATAAAAGAAGACGGTTACATACAAGGAAACACCATAAGGCTAGCAGCAGCAGATTTTTCAACAGAAACTTACCATGCCAGAAAGGAGTAGCATGATATATTCAAAGTGCCGAACGGGAAAAATCTGCAACCAACAATATCTATCCAGCAAGGCTATCATACAATAGAAGGAGAGATAAAGAGTTTCCTAGACAAACAAAAACTAAAGTAGTTCATGACCACTAAACCCAGCCCTGTGAGAAATATTAAAGGGGACTATTTGATAGAAAGGAATGATCAAAAAGACAGTATGAAGGTAGGAAATACAAAAGCAGTAAAAAGAATATTTCTGTAAAAAGTCAGTCAAGGAACTCACAAAATAAAAAGATGTAAAATAGGACACCATATACCTAAAATGTGGGGAGGAGAAAAGAAGTGAATGGGTCCAAACTTAAATTACCATCAACTTAATACAGATTGCTATATCCAGAAGAGGTTATAGACAAACCTCATGGTAACCACAAATCAAAAAACACTAATAAATATGCAAGAAATAAAGAGAAAACAATCCAAATATTACTAAAGAAAACCAGTAAACCATGAAAGAAAGACAAGAAGGGACCGGAGAAAATCTCCAGAAACAATCACAAAACAAGTAATAAAATGGCAATAAATACATATCTGTCAGTAATTACTCTGAATGTAAATGGACTAAATCAAAAGACAATCAAAAGACATACTGTGACAGAATGGATAAAAAAACAAGACCCAGCTGTATGCTACCTACAAGAGACTCAGTTTTGACCTAAAGACACCTGCAGATTGAAAGTGAGGGATGGAGAAACATTTATCATGCAAATGCATGTCAAATAAAGCTGGAGTGGCAATACTTATATCAGAAAAAACAGACTTTAAAACAAAGATTGTAAGAAGAGACAAAGAAGGACATTATATAATAATAAAGGGGACAATCCAACAAAAAAATATAACAATGGTAAACATTTATGCACGCAACATGGGAGCACCCAAATACATAAAACAATAACAAACATAAAGGACCTAATTGATAATAACACAGTAATAGTAGGGGACTTTAATATCTGACTTATATCAATGGACAGATCATCTAAACAGAAAATGAACAAGGAAAAATTGGCTTTGGAATACATCCTGGACTAGATGCATTTAACAGTTATATTCTGAACATTTCATCCTAAAACAATAGAATATACATTTTTTTCAAGTGCACATGGAACATTCTCCAGAACAGATCACATGTTAGGCCACAAAACAAGTCTCAAAAAATTTAGGAAGACTGAAGTCATACCATGAATCTTTTCTGACCACAATACTTTGAAACTAGAAGTCAACCACAAAAAAAATGTGGAAATACCACAAATACATGGAGGTTAAATAACATGCAAACTAAACAATGAATGGGTCAATGAGGAAATAAAAGAAGAAATTTAAAAATATATGGAAACAAATGAAAATGAAAACACAATGTTTTAAAACCTTTGGGACACAGCAAAAGTGATTCTAAGAGGGTAGTTTATAGCAATATAAGCCTACAAGAAAAATCTTGAACACCAACCTTACACCTAAAGAAGCTAGAAAAAGAACAACAAAGAAAACCTAAAACCAGCAGAAGGAAGGAATAATAAAGATTAGAGCAGAAATAAATGATACAGAAACGAAAAACAAAACTAAACAAAAACCCCAAACAATAGAACAGATCAATAAAACCAGGAGCTCATTCTTTGAAAAAACAAAAAAACAAACAATAAAATTGATAAATCTCTAGCTAGACTTATCCAAAAGAAAAGAGAGAGGACCCAAATAAGTAAAATCACAAATGAGGGTGTAGAAGTAGCAACCAACACCACAGAAATACAAGCAATTATAAGAGAATATTATGAAAAACAATATACCAACAAATTGGACAACCTAGAAGAAATGGATAAATTCCTAGAAACATATAAACTACCAAAACTGAAACAGGAAGAAATACAAAATTTTTTTTTTATTTTTTTTTTAACTTATTTTTTTAAAGATTTTATTTATTTGAGAGAGAGAGTGAGAGAAAGAGAGAGCACATGAGGTGGGGAGGGTCAGAGGGAGAAGCAGACTCCCTGCTGAGCAGGGAGCCCGATGCGGGACTCGATCCTGGGACTCCAGGATCATGACCTGAGCCGAAGGCAGTCGCTTAACCAACTGAGCCACCCAGGCACCCAAGAAATACAAAATTTGAACAGACTGATAACTAGCAAAGAAACTGAATCAGCAATCAAAAAACTCCTAACAAACAAAAGTCCTGGACCAGACGGCTTCAAAGGAGAATTCTACCAAATATTTAAAGAAGAGTTAATACCTATTTTTCTCAAACTATTCAAAAAAATAGAAAAAGGAAAACTTCCAAATTTATTCTATGAGGCCAGCATTCTCCTGATACCAAAACCAGACAAAGCTACCACCACACAAAAAAAGAACTATAGGTCAATATCCCTGATGAACAAAGATGCAAAAATTCTCAACAAAATACTAGCAAATTGAATACAACAATACATTTAAAAAAAGTCATTCACCATGATCAAGTGGGATCTATTCCCGGGTTGTAAGGGTGGTTCAATATTCACAAATCAACCAACATGATACATTGCATCAATAAGACAAAGGATAAGGACCACATGATCATTTCTTTTCTTTCTTTCTTTTTTTTTTTTTAGAGAGAGACAGAGAGTGAGCGTGAGTGAGCAGGGGTTGGGGGAGAGAGAGGGAGAGAGAGAATCTCAAGCAGGCTCCATGCCCAGGGTGGAGCCTGATGTAGGGTCAATCTCACGATCCTGAGACCATGACCTGAGCCAAAATCAAGAGTCAGACAACTGACTGAGCCACCCAGGTGCCCCATGATCATTTCAATAGACGTAGAAAAAGCATATGAC